TGTTGTTGTGACTTAGCTCAGTTTTCTGACAGTAACATCAGTCCAAGTCCACGAATTTTGTCATGGTAAAGAGTGCAAGACTGCGCCTGTCGTTGGGAAGACCTTTGAGCACCAAACAGGTGGCAGTACGACTTTTGCTCAGTTCCGCCTCCAGTTTTGATGGAGAGCACGCCGGAGGAACGAGTTCGGTCTCCCACCCCTCTTCTCCTACCACAAGCCTCTCAAGATGACTTATGGTTCACCGAATATTTATATATAATCACCATCCTAATATATATAAAATCACCATGCCGCACAGACACTATACCTTTACAAACATCCATGCTTTCTCTGGAATCTGGAACGCGGCCCTTAGTTACGGCACTCAGCGTCGCTGACTATTATCCTGGTTGGACAGCAGAAAAGAAAGTATAAACATAAAAGGAATCTCGCCGCAGGAACTATTTATTACCTTCGTCTCCCCGATGTAGATAGTACACCGAAGTGAATTGTGTATATTTACTATTTGTTGCTCATGATTACTATTTGATGTAGGAATACAATACTTCCTTAACTGAATGCATATTTATTTAATAAACACGCTACTTCTTACATTGGATCTTTCCTGCATTTCTACTCTTTCGTCCAGGGGCGTAGCTAGAGTTTCCAGCGCCCGGGGACAATTGAAGAATTTGCGCCCCTTTCTGTGTGCCAAGAATATAAAACGTTTCATTAAAAAATTTCGTAGCATGAATTTGGCGCCCCTTGGACGCTGCGCCCGGGGACAGATGTCCCCCCTTGCCCCACCCTAGCTACGCCACTGCTTTCGTCTTTTCTGCCAGAATATGTAAAGTAAGTTTTAAATCTAATCATTGGCGATCTCCGCTTTCCCACGACACACTCACCTGTTACTGTCTGCCTTTGAGAGCTAGTGGTACGAGATGGTAAGATAAATTTAAACTTTGATTTGTAAACAAGTAATCTGAGTTATTGTGTCTGTCCAGCAGCAAATAGAGGAAGTTAAATTTTGTTAATTGTTTTAGTTTTGTAATTTCAAGGTTGAAGTTCAAATAAATCCTTTATTTGTTTTACGTTGTTGTATTTATATACTTAACGTTCTGGTACTGAAATGCAAATCCGGGACGATTGTGTTTCTATGTGTTTAGTGAGCCAGTCTAGAAGGTTAAACTAATGTTTATATTAAGAACCTTATACATAGTGTCTCCAATTAAGTTGAATTTAATATTTTACATAGTATTTCCAATTAAGTTCATTTCCATTTAAACAGCGTTTACCAAACGATGTTCCAAGAAACTTCAGGTTTTCGTAACAGTATTGTGGTTAAAAGAAAACAGCCAAAACTTTCCCCGGAGTGTTTCTTTCTTTCTTTTTTTTTTTTTTTTATTATTTGATGAGTCCGAGTGTATATTGTTTTTATTTATATTTTTTTAGTTTATATGTCTATAAAGGCGTTCTTACACTTCGAAACTGCAACTTGCTTAAAAGGATCATTTTCATAAGATTTTTGTTTAAATTAAAGGGCGATTTTAAATATAACATTTGATACATTTACATTATTTCACTTGTCTTCTTAATCAGTTTTAATTTTAAATCTCGTTCAGAGGTAATTCTCGATAATGGAATTATGTTGTTGACAGTGGAAAAAGTTTGGATTAATTTCCAAACTCCAAATGAATTTTTGCAAAGAAATCAAAGGCAGTTTTAAATCTCGCAATAAAATTTTAATATCTTTGATATTGAATTCAGAAGATAATGGAAATTTTTCTCCAAAAACGATGACAGTAAACATATCTTGCATTTTAAATTCATTTCGGATACGAAAACTATCGAATTACTAGTTGCACACGTGGTATGGAAACCTAATCGATCTGCTATTATAAAAAAATGAAAAGTCAATTTCTAGTTTTCAAATGAATTTTGAAGGAATAGGAAGGAATAAGAATAATTTGTATATGTAAATTTGAAAGATGTTTTACGTTTATCTTTCATTAGTATATGTTTATGAAATAACTGAAAGACGTTTTATTTTCATCTTTTATTAGCACATGTTTACGAAATACCGTTTTTCGTAACGTACCTCTTGATAAAACCTAAGTAATTTCATAAATGATATAAATAAACTGATATAATTTAAACCAAATTTGAGAGAGATCATGGCTAAAAACTATACTGTATTTTTATAATCGAGAAATGTTAATAAATGTCTTCATGCCCCCCCACCCCAATTTTAGGCAACCTAGTTACACTTAATAAACTGCGCTATTTAAAACTCTTTACAATTGTTTTTCTTTTAGCATATGTACTTTGAACAAAATTTCCTTGCAGAAGTAATAGAGTAACTGAAAATCGAAACACAGGGTAACTTGCTAAATTGCTACAGGAATTTTCGTAGCTTCTTTGACTAGAATCCTACAGCACGAACTGTAACGGACAAAAATAGAGAATCAACTAATATTTGAATTAGTATTTCAGCATGAAGCTGAACAACTAGAATGATTAGCAGAAACCGAGCTTCTGTTCCTTGCGGCCTGAGAATACAATAATAGTTCAATTATTTACGATTCAGTTATTAAAACGTAAAAACCTGGCTTCTGTGCTCACGCACTCTCAAGTACTACAAATAAAAATTAGCACACAAAGTGTCAGCTCAACACTCCAGCAGAGCGAATCAAAATTACAATGCTCCAGTCTTCAGATTCTTCTTACTTAAGTTGCATTTTCTGGTGACGTAGAAAATAAAATACCGCCCAGACGGTATACTAGTTAGGGGATCCAACTACGATACCGAAGGTCCAGGTTCGAATCCCGTAAAAGGCATGGATGTAAATTGTCTGCCTCCTCATAAGGTAAAGGTGGCTGCCTATTAGGTGCCTCCATAGTAAAATGACCACAACTTCTGGCTTTAGTAGCGGCGAAAGCCTAAAATGGCTAATGCCCGCCATTAAAAAATAATAATAAATAAATAAAGTGCAGGAAACAACAAAAGAAATAACGTGCTAACTTACATTAAAAAAATAACATGGCTTATAAAGTCTCCGCAATAATATTAAATTTAGAAACTCAGCTTTAAAAAGATATCTTCACGATAGAAGAGCATGATTTCGTCCTGTTCAGAGATAGTAATAAAGCGTTCATGTAACACTAAGAGTAGTAGAAAGACACGATAGGTTTGATTTGTTTTATTTAACTATGGCAAAGCACTCGAAGGCTTTCTGCCTAAGAGGAAGGCCGTCTTCTTGGAGGACTTTCTAAAGGATAGTTCGCATACACGTTACACATGAGGAAAACCACGAAAACGCCCATGCATCCAACTCGTTAGTCAAGATTCAAACTTTCGGGCCGAGCTACTAGTGTTCAGGGACTTTACCACTTGGTCGCTGGTGAGCCTGATATCTTTTAGATTTTTCACAAAAGTCTGTAATTTAGTTAATTAATTTATTTAACTTCTCACGTATAGTATTGACCTAATATAAAATTTCTATATTATTTCTGAAGTTTCTGTCTATTGCTGCAGTCTTTTTATTCGTGCAAAATTTCGATCTGTTTATAAGCAACCTCAAAAAAGCGTCGGCAACTCATAGGCGACTTTGTGAATTGCCAAAACATTTTTGTTTATCTACCTTTGAGGCTCATAGGTACCGTTCCATTTATAAATAATAACAAAAAGAAATATTTTGTGAAAAATAAAGAAATTTTATGAGGGGAAAGTCAATAAAGTATTTACATTTTTACAGTCGATGGTAGCTTTAAGTCCACGTGTGCAGTACGCGCATGCGTAGATTAGTTGCTGTCTCGTTTATACTGCAAAATACGCCAAAAATAAGGCATTGCAATAAATGCTGAAAGTGGGGATCCTGGTAGTCAGAAAATACCAAAATTTCAATTAAAAATGCTTTTAACGGTATAACTTTTATGAGGAAAACAATTAATAATTATTTGTCAATACTATTGGTTATACACATGCAGTTCATACTCTGTTTTAAATACATTTCTACTGCACTTTTATAAATATTATACCTATGTCATGCAATTTTTGTTGAATTTTTCTTTTAAGTAGTTTTAACCTCTTTCAAAAATTTAAAAGCAATAAGAAATAAAGAAAGGTAAATTTTTAATAAGGGATGAAGAATAAGTACTAAAAAAGACCATTTTTGATAAATGATAAATAATTTTGTACATCTAACTTCAATATACGGAAATCGAAGGGAGCTGAAAAAAAATTTCGGCTACCAAAGATATCAATTTCAAATTTATTATTTCAATATCAGATCGACTTATTGATGATTTTGACTAAAGGAAACTCGAATAAGAAAAGTTATGTTCGGTTACTTTTGCTGAAATAAATTATTTTAAAAACTAGTTTCACTAGAACAGTAATTACTGAAATAAATTAGTATTATTTTTTACAAGCATTCCCGATGCAAGTAAATTTTTAAATCGAAAAAAGCTGTACTTTATTTTGAGGTACATTTTCTAAATTTAATTTTGATTTGAAAAATTGTAGTGGGATAATTTTAATGGAATAAAATTGCCTTGATTATTGAATTCTACCCTGCCTAGACCAAATATTTACTGAAATTATTAAGTTTTCTGGTTAGAGAAAATGTTCATTGGAATTATTATATTAAGTATTTTACCATCCAATTTCAATAAAACCTTTAAAATTATAAATTAATAAATTTTTGAAAAACAATGAAACAGATATGAAAAAACATATTTTATTATCATTGCAATTTGAAATCATGTGAGATTCCTTTTTTAAAACCTACATGCAAATGCTGTGCAAGGATAAAATTACGAAATGAATATACGCTTTATCCACGAATCAATTTCCCATCATACTATATTTCTAAGATTTCCTTAGCACCCAACGTGGGGGAAAAAAGTTAAAAAAAAAACGGTCTCGCTGTCGACTTTGGCGATGACAACAGTTTGGCAACCTCAAGCAGGTTAGTAAAACTTCCACTTTAGTGCGATTCAACTCAAAGCAGAAGGCTCCATGCCTTGGTACAGAGAGAGATGTGTGTGTGATGAACACGGCCTCACACTTCTGCATTCGTGGCTACCCAAGATCCGGAGCTCCTAGTGAGCTTCAGGTGAGTGTACATTTTTGGTTACTAAGCGACTGTCAATACTCTAAATAACGGACGAACATGGCGGCAGTTTCAAAATTCCACGGGAATTACTGCGCCTGCATTCCTGACGCACACAGCGATATCTTCTACCATCTTTTAACTATTCACCGAAAACATTTGTACTTTTTATAAAACTTTTGGCCTAAAACTGTGAGTATCCATATTGGCGTGTGGTTTATGCTGTATACGGCTTTAAATAAACAGATAATATTAAACAGTAGCAGTGTTGACACTGTTTTCCAGTGGTGGCAAAGAAAAGTAATAGTTACTGACCTTCCGAATGAATCGGTTTACTTGTGAGCAATAGTAACCTTGACAGTGATGTGATTAGTGATTACGTGATAAATTGCATCTTGGTGTAAAAGTCTACCGAGCTTTTTATTTTTTAGTTTTAAGATAATATATACTTAAATGAGGGAGGGAGAAAATGCTGCTTTTGGGTGATGTAGTTGCAAAAACAAAATGTGCATAATTGTGGATGAATGCAAATTAAGCTTAATACACGCTTCGAATTTCTATCTTCAAAAAATTTTAAAATACATCAGACAGATACAGATGTACGAATTTGTTATGTGCATATTCATGGCTTCTGAATTTTTTACTTTAGAAGCGCTTAAAACTATTCTAAAATTTATATAGATATTTGGCAGCTATATTTATTTCATTAAATGTTTGTTTCTTTTAGCTTTTTTATACATATTTACGTGAGATTCAACGAATTTCACATTTGTTGGAATACAATTTTTTGATAGCGTGATTTTCATTTTTGATATACATATTGATAGCATGATGAGACTATTCATAAATCGAAGACTGTCAAGATATTTTTCTTTTCTCAAATCTATATTGGGTGCTATAGTGTTACTCATTTATAGACGGGCATTTATTCCTAGCTTGATATAATTCTGAATACTATATTTCATCTGCGCAAGATGCAATATTTTTTCAAATTTAGTGTTATGCGTTGATAGCTCATTATAAATATTAATATGTTTCCGGTTCCAGTAAAATTCGTCAGACTTTTTACTTTTGGACAACACTGTATAATTCTACTGCACCAATATCGTTTTCTTAACTATGTAACATATAGTAAGCTTTTATATTTTGGATATATTTATTGACAGCCTGATGATTTGTCAATATACTTATTGATAGCATGCTGGAAGTTTAAGAATATTAAGCTTTCTAAGCTGCAATAATTTTTCATATTTATTTAGAAACGTTTATTAATTGCATGATATGACTATACTGGAATAATGTGAGGTATTTCTTTTCTTACATATGCAAAATGCGGGAGATTTTCGCACTTATTGATAGCATGATAAAACTAACTGGAAGAAGTATGAGAAATTTTTTCTTATTGTAGCTGTTTATGTAGGATTCCGAAATCGCATTTTTAAATAACTCATTTCTCTGGTTATACTGCAGTAGGGCAAAATGTTGCTTACTGATAACTGAATAAGCAAATGGCTTGAAAAGGTCTTGTTAATTCGTTGTACGTACGTAAATAAGCATCAACAGAAATTTTATTGTTTGGGCTTTTGGTAATGTTGAATTGAACAAAATTAATACACCTTTACACTCTATGTGAAGAAGTTTATTAGAAACGAGTATAGAAACTTTTTCCTAGGCATATGAAATATTTTACTGATATTTATTAGTATATCTAATTTCATTATTTTACAATATTTTAGAAGTGCCCTTAATTATCTTCCACGTTAATATTAGACATCATTGAGTGCCTTACATTTCAACCGTGCACACACAGGCAGGGTAGGAATTCACATAAAATCCCATAGAATGAAAACGTTTAGTACGAATTGAACGTGCAATTAAGCTTCGCGAATTCAATGATTTTATGTACTCGGCGCCTTGTTTATATCAAAGTTTTACAGAAGCACAACAGATAATTTACTTCTATAAATTTACTTTGATAAAGTAGAATCTTGTTATAAACTTAATATAAAATACTCAGGATGGATTAATGTTATTTAAAGACGTTATTTCTAATAGCAAATCAGTGATATTCAAAGCGTTTCAAAGGAAGAATCTGTTTTGTTAAATGTTTCCACGAAAATTTAGAGGTTTATCAAAAATTTATATTTTTAAAATTTCTTTCATCATTTTGCAATATATTCATTGGCCTTCCTCAGATGTTTCAATAATACTTTAATAAATTTATATAAATTACATAAGCAGCATACTTAAATTAATGAATTATCTATTGTTATAGGTAATTCATTAATTTGATATATACCAAATTAATGAGTTCCATTTAATTTGTTGGCTCGTAAATTGTGCTGTATTGATGATCGAGTCAATACTTTTTTTTTTAAGAATCGAATGGTTACAATATTCGCTCATTCTTTTCTTGAATTTGAATTTCGTTGTTAGCCAAGATCCGATTCATACTAAACTCGGTATTCGTTTGGCAATGATCCTTTGACTTTTCTTTCTTTAGGAAAAGGAAAAGTGTAAAAATGTTGTTAATAAGTTGAATAAAATAAGCATATCCTCAAAAAAATTCTTTTCTCAAAATAGTATTGCTTATGACCCTTACATTATTACAGCTGCAATTTATTGACGAAGCTAATGCTACCGCTCGTAGCCATATGTAGTATTTCTTTGTAAGGAGACTGTATGGTGTGAAAAATATTTCAAAATTTCCTTCAGAAAACAAAAGAGGTGGCAGAAAATGTTGGAGAAAAGCTGAAATTTTGCCTGTAAAGTATTCGAATGCTGTTTATATAAGGAAAAAGATTCCTTCGCGGAGAATTTTTCGAATAAAAATCATATATATTTTATTATTCTAATAAAAACAATAAATTCGTTGTAAAATATTTCGGCCAATTTTTCGAGTAAACATAGATTTTTTTCCCCCATTTAACTTATTAAAGCACAATGATTTATTTCTGGATGGTCTGAAGTACGGAGATTGTATAAAAAATTAGATTCGATATTTACAGAATACTTCCACGCTGAACGCTGGAACTGTGTTCATAAAGTTCTTCACTTCATTTTGAGAAACACTTTAATTGAATGTCTAACATCATATTTAAGAAATTAAAATCTCTAGCCACCTTCTTCGAACATTCTGTGTGAAGTATTTTATTTAGCGACACAGTATAGAGTAAAAGCACTCATTCATTAGGCAGCGTAATGAATTTTTACCTGTCCCGCCGAGACGGTATAGTGGTTTGGGGAGCCTAATGCGATATCGAATGGCCCGGATTCAAATCCCGGAGAAGGCATGGATGCTTGTAAATGCATAGTGTCTGTGCGGCATGCGAGCACTCTAAATATGCGACGAGCCGAAAACTCTCTCGAGAAGTTAGTGGTAGAGAAAAAGGTGTAAGGAAAAAATTATATTCTGAAAGAACTCTATTCTGAAGGAGAGCACGCCGTCCCCCCCCCCGGCGTGCTCTCCTTCAGAATAGGGGGCGCAACTGAGCAAAGTCGTATTGTCATCTGTATGATGCTCAAGGCTCTTGCCAACGACCGGCGCAATCTTGCACTTCTTGCCGCGATAAATTTCGTGGGCTTGTTCTGATGTCACTTTCAGACAAATGAGATAAGTCACAACATTTTTACTTGCAGTAAAACATTGGCGTTTTGGAAAAGAAACATAGAAATGAAAAATTGAAAACATCCCCCCCCGAAAAAAAAAACGAAACAAAACAAAAAGAATAGAAAATTTGAGAGAATTCAGATTCCAGGAGACTTTTTATGATATTCTTGAGCTCGCAATTTATCAGTCTGCCGTTGGATTCTGTCGGCTAACACATTTTTTTCCTTTTTAATTTTATAGTTACATACCAATTTCTTTTCACTTGCGCTCCTTAAAATTCAATAGTAAAATCAAAATATTTTTAAAAGCAGTGTATGCTTTAGAATTCCTGATACAATATTAAGTGTAACTATTAATCTTTTTATATCCGCTGTCATATTTCTTTAACAATAATCCATTGCGATATCATTGGGTGACAATACCCTTTTATCTGAAAAGTGATACACACAAAGAAAGTCGGGATCGAGATTAATAACACTTCTGTTGCTAAAAAAAGGTGACCTAGTTTGGAGTAAATTTTGACTGAAAGTGCTATCGATTTAGAGGGCGATAGGTTATAGGATTCCAAAAATATTGGAAAATGAATCCGATATAAGACTCTTCTTCAAGATATTAAAAATATTTAAAAATGAATAAATGGTGATAAATGTGAATAAAAGGTGACGGCTAGATATTTAGTGTAGCCCTTTGTTTAGAGATTTTCGCATCAACTATTGTAATGGTTTGCTTGTGTTTTGGGGAACCAAAGTACATTTTCGTATTAGGAAAACACTGGATTTGCACGTTGATTCCGGTTTCCGATAAAGAATTCTGATCCTAAACTGTCGAATGAACACGTATATTTATTTTTCTGCTGTGTTCAATCATACACTTGTTTCGTTCCGGTAACAAAAATATCCACAAAAGCTAGATTTCCTCTAACACGATGACAGAACATCCCTACTCAGCAATGTTTGTTTGTGTGGATTGAATTGGGAGATTTACGATGCACGAAAAGAGAGAGCCCAGAGCATTCGCGCCCAGATTAAGGGCAATGCGGTGCTTGGTATTCTTCACCGTCTCGTCCACATTAGCTATGCCGGGTCACCCGTTTGCGAAAAACATAACTATTTAGGAAGTTAGCGCTCAGCGAATAAATATGCAAATTCAGAATGAGAGTTATAAGTTTTATCTTGTATTTTATGACTTTCTGTTATGTGTTTCATTTCGGATGTATGTCGGTATAGATTTAACAGGACTGTATCTATATGGCCATTTCATTACTTTCTCCTCATTGATATTATGGACGTAACTCTTCGTCTGAGGAGTTTTGATGAGTCTATTTCATAGCTTTCATTTCAATGAAATGTATACTGTGACAAAAAGCCGTAGATAATTATCCTTGAAGCGTTGT